CGTAGTGTTGGCAGGAAGTTCATGTTGTCATGGAAACATGTGTAAAATAAAGTGGCAACGGTGGAGCTCTACGGTTGCTTTACCGTTAAAACAAGTCTCCTGTCATTTCAAAATGCAAGAACGAAAGAAGGTAAAACGGAAAATACCATCCTACACCCACAAACATAACATTTTAATGAAGAATTTAATCAGAAACGCCTCAGAGTTTGACCCCAAAGTCCTTAGTCCTTAAAATATGGTGTGAACTCACATTTACTCTTAATGTTAATGTTAATCTTCCTCCTTTCCCTTTAAGCCCTCAGCAGAAGTCTGTGTTTGACTTATTTAACAGGATGTTCCAAAAAGGAAATAAACTCATTCATTTGATTTAATTGTGTTTCGGCTGTCTGAAGTCTGAACAGATTAAAGTAAAGTGGTGTCAAAGGGTTAAACTCCACCGTTAACTCCCCTTTTTTTCCCTGGAAAAACCATCTGCTGTACACACAAATGTTAAAATGAACACATAACGTGCACAACAACAGAGAAAAATATATAGAAATATGTCGGAAAGCGACTTAAGGTTTTACTAAATGTGTTTTAAATCAGTCATCCTCCGTCTTAAAAAGCATCCTTACACACAAGATGTGTCCTGATTCTGTTTCTGGTTAATTCTGATTCAAAATGTATGCTTTTAAAAAAAAGTCTGAGCTTCCAGTCCTTTTAAAACCCTGTTGATGGTAGTTTTTTTTATTCCTCCAGGTGTGTTTGTTTCCCCCACTAGGGGGCAGTGTTCGCTCATGAAAAAAAGGTTTCCAGGTGTCATTCCTCTCAGTTGTGGCTCATCTTTTGGAGTACCACCTTCCACAAACACAAACTCTGCTGTTTAAAAGATAAACTGGAGTTATTTTCCCTTCCGGGTGGGAAGTAGCTTCTGTTTTGATATCTGAATCCACCGGAAAGTTCTTCCAGGTGTCCCACACCTCTAAAAACATCATATTTTTACACACTTTCATAACATCCAAAGATGATTTCTGGTCGTCCAAAGATAAATATTTCTCTAATGGCTCTGAGGTTCTGACCAGGGCCAGAAAAAGAGATCAAAGAAGTCCAGTTAAAGTGCCCCGATTGGTTTTGTGGGCTTTTTTTTAAGGCCGCCGTTGGTCTTAATCCGGAATATTTAGCTTTTCCATCACACAGACGGGGCTTTGATTTGAGCTGAAATCCACCAGGACAGAGCTGAGAGTTGAAAAGCAACGGCAATATTAAGAAATAAAGGAGTCCGTAGCCTTTAAACAACAGGGAAGCAAAGGCCACAGAGCCAAAATGGGCTTTTAAAACAGATTCAAAATCAGGCAGTGAAGACAAAACCTTCCTGAAAGAGCTTCATCACTTTGTCTAACTAAATACTTCAAACACAAAAAACAGTTTAAACCTGGTTTGAAATCAAACTGGAGTGATGTGTCCTCTATTGTTAGATTAAGTTTGATGACCAGCTGTTTAAAATAGGCTATAAAAGCCCCCGAACCACTCGGAGCTGGAATAAACTCTAGTCTGGAATAAACTCTAGACTTAAATAAACTCTAGACTTAAACTCATTTAAACATCTCAACAAAACACAAAATATGGCTTTTTGTAGACAATGAAAACACAAAATACGAACACTTTCTTCTAACCGACGGCTTAAAGAAATGAGCCCAGACCCATTTTTGCTCAGACTTGAGGAGGTCCATCAACCTGCAACATTTTAGGTCAATTAGATTTTGGAAAATCTCCATTTTGTGTTAATTAATGTCTGAAATGATCCAAAGAAACTTGTCTCTGTTGTGTGTGAATCCACAAAAAGCCAGGTGAGGGATTTAAAGTGTGAAAGTGTTAAGTCTGGTGCCTTTTCCCCTCAATTTGTGGATGTAAAAAAGTCTGTGAATGGAACATCTGGATCATTAACAGAAACTGTAAAACCGTCTGAGGGCCGCAGACATTCCTGTGGAAAGGAATTAGAGGCAGAAAAAGTCCTGGAAGAGCAGTTTTGGAGCCTATTCAGAGAGAAAAGACGAAACCGTGAGGGGGAAGATCCAAAA